ATGGCTACCAAACTACCGATCGCGAGGGCTTGGAAGACCCCCCCCCCCCTCCTCGGCTTTGAAGCAGTCAAAAATCGGATGAATTTTATAATGGTAAAATGAGAAACATCCAGCTATGCTGTTAGACACTCACCCGAAGTTTCTACAGATCTGGTGTCCGTGGCTTGATATAGCCCAACCGTCTAGATTTGACTAGACCCTTTTGTCGATATAAGATTTTTTTCCATTGCAATCCCCTGCAGCCCTTTCTTTGTCTTTTCTTTCTTCGTTCCTCCCTTTCTCTTCTCTGTTCTGCCTGTTTTCATGATATTTGTGCTGATTGTAACTTTTTTTTTTTTTAAGAACCATACCAGCAATACTACATCTACCTGTTGGACTTCCTCAGGAATCCTGGGTGTGGAGTACCAATGTGCATCCAGTGAGGCTCCGTGTTCTATTTTTCCTGCCTTCTGTATGCGGATTTTGTGCTAATCTTTGTTTACTAATTCATTGGTCTCTAATTGTCTGCCATTTTGGCAAATTATTATGTTTTATTTTCTCTCTTCATATACTGCGCTTGTGTACTCAATTTATTTCCTGGCCTATACTTCAGTGCATTTATTGTATTATTCATCAGAAAACTTGTACACTTTATTTTTGTTGGTCAGTGATCTTATTTATGACCATTTCTCTGATGTTGTCTATTCTATAATAAAATGAATTGTAAAAGAAATGAGCCTGCCTATGTACTGCCTACAATTGTAACATTAATATGATACCTACATAAGCATGGTTAAGAAAAAAAAAAAAAAGCTTCAAATGTGCCCAATAAATAGAACAGTTATTTGGAAAGATGCTGAGTGTATGTTTTTGGGTCTGTTCTCTACTGCAGTAGTTGAAGTGGTTGTAAAGGCTGAAGATTTGTTTACCTTCATGCACTCTATGAATAAACTTTCTGTGTGCTGCTCCCTCCACAGCCCCCCCAATACTTACCTGAGCTCAATCTCAATCCAGCGCTGTACACAGGAGTCTCTCCCGGGTCTCTCTCTCTCCTCATTGGCTAAGACACAGCAGTGGGAACTATTGGCTTCCACGGATGTCAATCACAGCCAGTGAGGAGCGAGTGGGGGGCAGGGCTTGCTCTAGGAGCACTCAGAGGGGGGGAGGGGCCGGGAGCACCAGTGGGGGACCCTTGAAGAGGAGGACCGTGGCTGCTCTGTGTAAAACCATTGCACAGAGCAGGAACGTATGACATGTTTGTTTGTTTTTTCAAACCTGAGCCTTTTATATAATTTTACTAATTTGGAACCACTAATCAATATTAGGATAGGAGCTATAGAAAAATCTATATGGAAATGGATAGGAAGCTGGCTAAAAGATCGTATTCAGAGAGTAGTGGTTAATGATTCATACTCTGAATGGTCTAGGGTTGCCAGTGGTGTACCCCAAGGTTCAGTGTTGGGACCCTTACTTTTTAATATATTTATAAACAAAATAGGGTCTGGGATTAAAAATACCATTTCAGTCTTTGCAGATGACACCAAGCTGTGCAGTGGAATAACGTCCTTACAGGATGTCTTCAACTTACAAGCTGACCTCAATGCACTGTTTAATTGGGCAACTATGTGGCAAACGAGGTTTAATGTTGATAAATGTAAGGTTTTGCACTTGGGGGCTATGCATGCATCCTACATACTGGGGGGGGGGGTACAACTGGGGGAATCAATGGTGGAGAAGGATCACGGAGTTCTGGTTAATCACAAGCTTAATAATGGCATGCAATGCCAAGCTGCGGTTTCTAAAGTGAGCAAAATCCTCTCTTGTATTAAAAGAAGTATGGACTCCAGAGAGAGAGAGATCATATTACCCCTGTACAAATCATTAGTAAGACCTCATCTGGAATATGCAGTTCAGTTTTGGGCACCAATTCACAAAAAGAACATTGGGGAATTGGAGAAAGTACAGAGAAGGGCAACTAAACTGATAAGAGGCATGGAGGAGCTCAGCTATGAGGAAAGAGGATTAGAGGAACTGAATTTATTCTCTCTTAAGAAGAGGAGATTAAGGGGAATATGATCAACATGTATAAATACATCAGTGGTTCATAAAGTGAACTCAGTGTAGAGTTATTTACCCTGAGGTCATCACAGAGAACAAGGGGGCACTCTTTACAAAGAACCAGCAAACACAAATGCTCCTGCGCTTGGGGACGGACTCGATAAAGGCTACTACCATGCTGAGAATGTCCTGGAACATTCACACCTTGCTGCCCTCAATAGACCTGGGAAATCCAAACATACTGAATGAGAAAATAACAAACAAACAGAGGGCGCACAGGCCTAGTGCATTACCATAAAAAATGTTTAATAAGAAATAAAGTAGGTGTTGTACTCAAAAACAACAATAAAGTCAAGGCACGTCATAAAAGAGCAGCTGGGTCAACACCGCGCTGAGTAACAGTACGCAATAGGGAGTGTAGACATCCAATAGGCTGACGCGTTTCAAGGACTTGCCTATTCTTTAGAGCCACTGTTTACATTTGGAGGAAAAGAAACTTAATCTCAATACACGGAAAGGTTTCTTCACAGTAAGAGCTGTGAAAAAGTGGAATAGACTCCCTCAAGAATTGGTTCTGGCCAGCTCAATGGATTGCTTTAAAAAAAGGCCTGGATTGTTTCTTGGATACACAGAATAAAACTGGATACTAACATTTATAGGTATAGTTGATCCGATTGCCTCTCGCTGATCAGGTAGCAATTTGTTCCCCTGCAGGAGCAAATTAGATCATGTTTTGCTGGGTTTTTTGCCTTGCTCTGGATCAACTCTGGGTTTAGAATAATAACTTTTTTTTTTTTTATGGTTAAACTGGATGGACTTTCGTCTTTTTTTCAGCCAGACTAACTATGTAATTATGTAAATAAATCATAATAAAAAATTCCAACAACGTCAAGACATTTTTCAATATTATTTTAAATGAAAAATAATAACCAAGTGTCATATAGTGTCCACAGTTCATAGGTTGTGCTTTCTGTTTTTCTTCCAAAGTAATCATGTACCACCTCCTGTGTTACTATAAACATGCACACAGTGTATCCACCACCCTTGAGTCCTGCCCTCACCTCCACTCTTAGACCTGTCCTCTTACAGGTCATAAGCACTTGTTTCCCTTTGATGGGATCCTTGGGTCAGCTCCTGTCCTCCTTATGGACTCCCCTCGCTTTTGATTTTCCATCCCAAGATCACTTTATGATGCACTTTAACTCTTGGTGTCTAGCCCTTTATGTATGCACTCCCTGTCCTGGGCACAGACTGTCATTAGCCCGGCTGTCAGTTCTCCTCTTCCCTTCAGCAGCCACAGCTCTCCACACACCACTCCAGTTATGACACTTGGTTATGATTTTTCATTGAAAAATTTCTTGACATTGTTGGAATTTTGTATTAGGATTTATTTCATTATTTATTTATGGTGATGAGTTTGATTGCACAGTATATAAACTTATAATTACAGAGAGGAGCAATATCACAGTTTTTGGAATTGCTAGATTTATTGTGGGAACACTTTGTTGTTTGCAGCCACCCTTATTACACTATTTATATTACTTTTTTGTTGGTTTTCAATGCATTGGTATTTTCACAAATGTATACACATACAGTGGGGATCGAAAGTTTGGGCACCCCAGCTAAAAATTTGTATTAATGTGCATAAACAAGCCAAGGAAAGATGGAAAAATCTCCAAAAGGCATCAAATTACAGATTAGACATTCTTATAATATGTCAACAAAACTTAGATTTTATTTCCATCATTTACACTTTCAAAATAACAGAAAACAAAAAAAAATGGCGTCTGCAAAAGTTTGGGCACCCTGCAGAATTTATAGCATGCACTGCCCCCTTTGCAAAGCTGAGACATGCCAGTGTCATGGATTGTTCTCAATCATTGTCTGGGAAGACCATGTGATGTCAATCTCAAAGGTTTTAAATGCCCAGACTCATGTGACCTTGCCCCAACAATCAGCACCATGGGTTCTTCTAAGCAGTTGTCTAGAAAACTGAAACTGAAAATAGTTGACGCTCACAAAACTGGAGAAGGCTATAAGAAGATAGCAAAGCGTTTTCAGATGTCAATATCCTCTGTTCGGAATGTAATTAAGAAATGGCAGTCATCAGGAACAGTGGAAGTTAAAGCAAGATCTGGAAGACCAAGAAAAATATCAGACAGAACAGCTGGCAGGATTGTGAGAAAAACAATTCAAAACCCACGTTTGACTGCACGATCCCTCCAGAAAGATCTGGCAGACACTGGAGTTGTGGTACACTATTCCACTATAAAGAGATACTTGTACAAATATGGTCTTCATGGAAGAGTCATCAGAAGAAAACCTCTTCTACGTCCTCACCACAAAAATCATCGTTTGAACTTTGCAAATGAACATATAGACAAGCCTGATGCATTTTGGAAACAAGCTCTGTGGACCGATGAGGTTAAAATTGAACTTTTTGGCCGGAATGAGCAAAGGTATGTTTGGAGAAGAAGGGGCACAGAATTTAATGAAAAGAACCTCTGTCCAACTGTTAAGCATAGGGTTGGATCAATCATGCTTTGGGGTTGTGTTGCAGCCAGTGGCACAGGGAACATCTCACGAGTAGAAGGAAAAAATGGATTCAATAAAATTTACAAGCTGTGATACTTGCCAAAGGGGGCAGTACAAGATATTAACTCTGCAGGGTGCCCAAACTTTTGCAGACGCCATTTTTTTGTTTTCTGTTATTTTGAAAGTGTAAATGATGGAAATAAAATCTAACTTTTGTTGACATATTATAAGAATGTCTAATCTGTAATTTGATGCCTTTTGGAGATTTTTCCATCTTTCCTTGGCTTGTTTATGCACATTAATACAAATTTTTAGCTGGGGTGCCCAAACTTTCGATCCCCACTGTATATAGGTGGCGTGGGATACATTTAATACAATACTGAATAAATGTTTATATAAAAAGACTACAACTAAGTTTTGAGGTTTACCTGATAAATGAGAGCTGTGTGTCTTTCTTTCGGAGTCCATGACGAAGATCAGTTAGAGACTTTAACTTGTCAGCAGTCCCATGCTGGATATCTCTAATCAGCTGTAAAACCTTGAAAAGTACAAAGAAAGAACCACAGCATTTCCTTTAAAAAATAATTGGAAAATTTAAATGTCAGCCTATACAAGCTGTAGAGTAAAAAGAAAACCTTAAGAAATTTCAACAGTTAACCAATGCAAAAACCTTTGGGAGGTAATTCTGACAGGTTTCTCTGAGGCCACTTTGAACTCATTTGCTTTTTCAATAGTTTACTCTTTAAAAGAGATGTATGGAGTTTGATAGGAGTGATAGGCAGTGGAGGGGGAGAAAAAGCGGCTGGCTCAGGTTCTCAGCAGCTTGCTGAGAGGCTGAGCCATGTGGCGCTCCAGACTCGGGTGGATCTTGACTTTGAAGTCAGGATCTTTCCCTAGCCTGGACCAGCTGAGTGACGTCAGCCAACAATGGGCTTCAGCCTGCTGTTGGCTGAAAAAGGGTCACAGGAGTGGAGAACAAACTGCACACCTGTGATCCACAGAAGTACAGCCAAAAGAGCTTTAAAAGAAGCCACAATTATATTTTTAGTCTTCACGACTATGGCTTCAGTACTTTTTTAGTTCATAAACTAAAGCAATAAGGATGAGAGTTCTACACTTTCAGATTCCACTGACTGCTTGTTTGTTCCAAGTCAGTAATGCACTTTACAGTGAAGCACGGATCAGAATAACGGTCTATAACTTTAAAAGCAAGTCCACAACAGCAGCTCTCATATTTCTAGTCTCACGATTTCTATTTAAGAACACATTTCTTTCAGTTGCAGATCCAAAGCTATCCAAAGAAAAGCGCATGAGGCAAGCTGCACAAGATGAATGCCCTTATGTAACACAGAGCCACCTATCTCAAATGATGTCTGCTTGGAGTGTGTATAAATGTAAAGGTTTTATAAAGTGCACCTTTAGGAGTGAATAAAACATTGAAAACTACTATGAAATGAAGTGTGGCATTTCAGGTGAAAGAATAAAATTGCATTACTTACTTAAAGGATAAGCTCACCTTTGGGAACATTACCTGTTCTTAGGATGGAACATGTAATATGTACCCACTGCTACAGCAGCTCGCCGATCCCCCCCTCTTCCAGTGACAGCAATACAGGGAGTTCTCTGTACAAGCTGTCACTTTTTGAAAAGAATGCAGCCATACAGGGCTCCGCCCACATTCATTCACAGCGTTCTATCAATTAATCAAACACAAGTACTGACATGCTTTGCAGCTGTCGGTTTGTAGTTCTCAATGAATTAGCACGGCGCTGTTGAGCATCCTAGTAGTTCATTGAGTCAGAGTGTAACTGCCTGCCAATGCGATGTATGGGCAGACAACTTGTGCTGACAGTCTGTAGGAGTTGGCAAAACCTGGAAAAAAAATGTGCATTTATTTTTTTTTTTTAAAGGTGAACTTATTCTTTAAGACTCTTAAAAACCTGACAGCACCATGAAGGTACTAAATAGGTAGCTACTGGTATCATTACATGGCCCTTCCAGTGTTGTCGAACCATTGTAATATGGTAGTTCGACATTTTTAAATATTGCTAAAGCCTGGCTCACTAGCCTATCCTTCATCTTCCTTTTAGCCCATTACTACAATGGGAGTCCTTACTGGTCATGGAAATGTGCTGGAGGATGAAGGACACAAGCCAACCATAAACAAGAGCGGTTCAAGATTCAGGATCCCACTTGCACTAGAAAGGTCAGGAGTCTTGCAGCCTATCTAGCACCTCCAGGGTAGTTACTGGTTTACTATAAACAAAACTGAAAAGCAAAATATTGTTCCTGGGGATTTAAGACATCAGTGGCTTAGCAAACCTGCTGCTCGGAGAGGTAGTGGTGCTGCAGATTTTCTTCCAGAGATGCCTCATCATCAGTGTGATCCCGCAATAACCTTTTGCTTATCAGCTGCTGTTCTCTTCGTGCTTTCCTTAGAGCTATTTAGAAAAATAAAATATTGTTGCTAAGCAAAGGAAAATCATAATTACAGTGTAGAAAAGTAGTCCAATTTCCTTAATTACACATTTTTTGGAGTAACTTACTGCTCACAAACAGCAATGAAAACCAGACAGATGTTTTATACCCTCCCTACTGTATCTAAAACAAACATAAAATGGTTTTAGATGGAGTTCAAATGCCACATGACTGAGTAGGATTTCTATCCACCTTGATAGATGCAAACTACAACGTATGCTGATTATCAACAGTCAAAGTTCTTATGGAGAATAGAGACTGGCTAAATGTAGAGATATAAAGGACACAAAGATGCAACTCTGTTTTCATTAACACAAACTGAAATGTGTTTTCTAAGTGCAAGCCAACAAGAGAGAGAAGCAGCAGCTACAGAAGGAGTCAATCTGTTGTGCTGAAAAGCAAAGAACATGCTGCTAGGAGGAGAAAGCAGAATGCCAAAACAGATGAGCTCATCGGTCTTCTGCTTCTCCTATACCAAGCATCACTAAATGGCGAACCGGGGTCCGGATGCGGACCGAGTCACTGTCCCATCTGGACCCATGCGGTCCCACCATTTTGGAGCCTTTTCTTCCTCTAGTCGTCTCGCGGACATCCTCACAGGGCTGACAGCGGGAGGCAGGAAAGTTCTGGATGGAGAGCGGGAGGTTAACAAGTTGGTGATTGGTTGCTAGGATGAAGGGCAGTCCTAGTAATCAGTCGCTGTCGGTCAATCACTGTCTGTGTAAGGTAGGAAAGTGGGGGGGGGGGGGGGGGCAAGCAGTGGGGAGGTGAAGTTAAAGGGGCTAAACACATTAGTGTGAAGGGGGCTGATGTGAAAAGGAGCCGAGGAGGACAGAATGTGGGCATTCGTTGGCACTCCTAGGCAGGCAGCACTTGAAAGCAGACTGCCCCAGGTAATGCCCAAATGTGATGCTGATCCTCCATGATAGAAAGGACTGAAATCCAAAGAATTGAAAGGAGTGGGCAAAGGACAGAAAGGCTGGGCTGGAAACGGTCAGATGACGTTGTACATCCTTCCAAGGAAATGATGTGGGCACAACCTGACTTGCTGCAGCTTCTAACAAACTCTGAGAATCTCACACTGTGCAGTGAACTCAGTATGCAATTTCTGTACAGGACTGGAGCAGCCTAAATGAAGAAATCTAAGGCATCCTGAATGTTTGCACTTTTAATAACGTAAAGTGTTACTAAACCCAGGACCCTGAATTCACTATATCTGGTCTCCCACAGTACACACAATATGGAAGTACAATTATTATTTATTAAATATAAACTGCTAAATAATTTTTCTCATCAGCAGTTAGAGCAGTCTTGTGACTTCTATCCATGTTCAGCAGAGCACTGGTTAAAGCTTGTAGGAGGGGAGGAGTTTTCTTTCTGCTCTAGGAGGATGCAAAACCCCTGACCTCTGTCTGCACAGTGCTGATTGACCTTGTGCTGTTCACCTGCACTGTCCCAAAAAAAAAAAAAAAAAAAAAAAAAAAAAACCGTTCTAGCAATACATACTAAACTGAGCATGTGCAGAATGGCTATGGTTCAGTCTGTCTTATCAGGAGATTTGAACAAGAGGAGAGAAAACAGGATCAAATGGCCTTTTTTACACAGTGCAGAGGATCAACCCTTTAGGTTCCACAGTGAGTATAACAAACATGCTTTACCGCATATACAGACTGATTTTACTGTTGTGGGTTTAGAAACACTTTAAAATAGAAGTTCAGTCAAATACTATCTAAGCTTAAACCTGCTCCCACCCTCATTCTAACTACTCTGTAAAGGAAAGAGGTCTATACTTACCTATTCTAGGGGCGTTCTGGTCCGGTCACGTGATCTCTCCAGCGGCTGGCTTTCCTGAAGAGGAGAGATTGCCAACAACGGTCACAATGCCTATATGGTGACATCCCCCACAGGCTTTCTATGGGGCATCCATGGTTGGCTGACTGTCCTCTGAAGCTGGCACTAGGAGCCAATTATGTGATCGAATTGAAGCACCCTGAGAATAGGTATATACATCTTTTCTTTGCAGGGTACTTAGAATAGGGCTTAGAATAAAAAACAATAAATTACATCACTTAGGCTACATCCACACCGGCAACTAGGACCACTGCAGGAATCAGAACTTCGTGCTGCAGCCGCTTGCCCGTTCACTGCGACAGGTTGATGGCGGTCAAAACTAGCTGCAGCTCTCTGCACAGTCAGTGATTACTTTTGTGTGCATCCAGCAGCAATCACTGCAGGTAATCGCTGGCTATGCAGAGAGCCGCAAACAACTGCGACCGCCAGCAACGTGTCATTATAATGAATGGGACCTGCGGCTGCACCTAACCTCTCAGAGCCGCAGCAGTAACTGCCACTGCAATTTGTACGGCCCAGTGTGAATGTAGCCTTAATCTCCTGAATTTCTGCATTGATCTTTGGCTAATACAACATAATAATACTCTGCTACAGCACAAACCTCATAAAATACCTCACTAAAAAAAAAAGAAAAATCACCTGTTTCTCTTTCTCTTTGCTGTACCCTTAACTCTTCCAATCCCATGTGTGATTTCTTGCCAAGCTTTCTTCTATTCCACATCTTGTATGGTAAAATCACACAAGTATGTATAGCCTTAGTAAAAAAAAAAAAAAAAAAAAAAGACAATGTCACAAATCTCCTTTCCTGTATAGAAAAAAAAAGCAACTAAAATATCAGTGCAAAGCTGGCCATGTACAATAGATAGTGATGGGTAGTACATGCATAATAGAACCACTGAATAATCTTTCCTCATACTGACGTATGCATAAACACAGACACCCTGGCAGCATTTTCATTTAAAGCAATTGGGGGAAAATATACAGTCCTGATAACATTTCCCCCTTTTCCCCAAGATCTTTTAGCCAGGGGTATCGGCAAACTTGAAGATGTCCAAAGACCCTGCTTAAATAAGCCAGTGCAAATAACGTTTTCAATGCGATTCTTAAATTAGATGATCATGATTTTTTTTCCCCATCAGTGTTCCATTTAAGAGATTTTCCTTCACTCCTGTCCTGTAGACACAACAGGAAGCCACGGACAAAGTGAGGTATATCCAACTTCAAGTTCTCAATAGGACAACTGTCCCCACTGGAAAATTTCACTTCTATTCCTGTTCTGGTGTTCTGGTGACGACTCAAAATTTTGGATTCTCCCTCACTTTAAGACCTGGTGACTATGGAGAAGAATGCAGATACAGAGTTTTGACTCTTTGGTGCTCCAGATTTTCTGAACTGCATCTTTATTCTAAATCACGGCTGACAAATTTTTAAATCAGAAGGTTAGCATTTTAAGAAGACTGACAGCAATGATGGCCCTCTTATTTGTCATGACAGGTTTACTTTTACGAGACTCTTTAAAAGAAGAGGGAACTCAGTACTATAAGCCTTGGTGGGGGACTGCCTGTCACTAGTGCAGAGAATTCAGCCATTGAATGAGGTGAGTATGCAGTAGAATAGGGGTTAAGTGTTTGGGGGAGATTAAGGGCTCATTCGCAAAAGCACATTGGCCCATACAGTATGAAGAGCCATTTGTTTATCTGGTACAAGTAGCGCAGAGCTGTGGGCAGGCAGCCTGTCTGTCAATGGAAACAAAGCAGGTGTACGGATTCACCCGCAGCTCCAGTTTTGCTAGGTACACAGGGACAGGTGCCTGGATCTGGATGAAGACAGTGTGCATCCCGGAGCCTCTCTTGCCTCTTCTCCCCAGCTGAAAGACAGCTCTGAAGAAATGGCAGATCAGCCCTGCTGACTGTTTACAATGGGAAATCAGTATAACCAGTGGGGCTCTACTCTCCCTGGTCTATCCCTGCTATCCCAGCAAGGCACCAAACTAGGAGAGATGATCTTCTACTGTAATATGCAATGCTGAGTTGTCAGCAGACAGTGGACATCACCACCCTGCCTCTCCACCTCATACAATCAGAGAATGTCTTGTTATGCAGTAGGCAAGCCAGTAGTCCCCAAAATCCATAAAGGATATATATCCACTTTGTGCATACCAATTGCCTTTGCAGTCCCAGATAATACCTTGCAAAGGAATCAGTGACATCACTGTGCTGCAGACTGTGCTGAGAACAGAGCTTTGGGAGGGTCCCAGCAGGCTACCTGCAGAAAACTAAAGGATGGGCAGATACAAGACCACTCACTCTGCACAAGAAGAAAGAGCAACCATGACTGGTCTGTAGTACAGGAAGATCTTGTAGAGAGGCAACTTCCTCTGACTCCTGCACCCTGAAGGGCCAATCAGATGAAATAACAGTCCGAAGTGCAAATATGTAGTGTGGGGCCAAAGATGGAATGTCCAGCTAACCATATAAAAGCTTTTGTGGCTTATACTTGGGGTTAAGGCCGATGCTTTTGCATAATAGCCTTTAAACAGGCACATGCACTACATGCTCGGAGAAAAAAAACTTCATATGAGTGTGTGATTCTTGGCAGTGTATGGTCCAAATTGGCCATGTGAATGAAGCCTTTTCTATAGTTTCTCAGGGCTAGTAGTATGTGTGTAAAAAAATGTCTGACAGTAAAAGAGTTAAACAGAAAAGACGCAAATTCATGGCTGTGATGTATCAGTCAAATAACATTCCCTTTTTGAATGAAGGCTGCAGAATGTACTGAAGATGCTCAAAAGACATGGTAAACACTACCCAGTACAGCTGAAACAAACATCTTTGTCCTTGGGCCAATTTACACCTCAGCCATTACGATGTAAAAGAAAACTTGATTCATCAGACCAGGCCACCTTCTTCCACTGTCCCATGTCCAGTTCTGATGCCCACTGTAGACACTTTTGGCTGTGGACACAGATCATCATGGGCATCCTGACCAGTCTGCAGCTACACAGCCCTGTACACAACAAACTGTGATGCCCATTTTTTCTGCTTTCAACACATCAACTTCATGGACATGTTTACTTACTGCCTAATTAATCCCACCGACTTTCAGATGCCATTGTAGGGGGATATTCAATGTTATTCACTTAACCCATCAGTGGTCATAAAGTTTTGGCTGATTGGTGTAGATCCATGCATTGTGGCAACGGATGTTACATGTGCTGACGTGTTGCGGTACCACTCATCCTGAATAGCATTCCAGTGCATTAAGGCTACATGCACACATTGCACTGCATGGCAGTAAACTCGTTTGGTGAAGTCTGATTTTTGGAATATTTTGGTGCATCGGAAGCCCTTTGATTTTAATGGGATGCCCAAATGTATTGTGTGTGTGTGTGTGTATATATATATACACACACACACACACAGGCGTACCTTGGTTTACAAATTTAATTCATTCTGCAGGACTTTTTGGATTGTGAAAAATTCGTAAACTGGAACGCGGTTTCCCATAGGAATCCATTGAAAACCAATTAATCCGTTCCGGAGGTCAGAAAAAAAGTTAAAAAAAGTCTATCTTTTCAAAACTCTTTATAAAGTGCACTTTAAAGGCAAAAAAAATACTGTAGAGGGACATGATAAAAAAATTAATTTGTAAATGCATTGAAAATCAATTAATCCGTTCGTATTGCGAAACAAATTCGTAAACTGAGGCGTTATTTTCAATGGATTTTCATTTGTAAACCGAAAATCGTGTTAACCAAGGCGTTCGTAAACCAAAGTATGCCTAGATATATATAATTGGGCCCTTTGTAAGTACCTTTCCAAACAACTACACAGTATTATAACAACCAATATGTACATAACAGTAAAGTCTGAAACAGAGTCAATAATTTGACAATTGCTGTGCAACGCCATAGCTGCTTTCTGCTAAATAGTTGTCTTCTGTTAGTTCCCCCTCACCAGCACTTCTAGATCTGTTATTTTTTATTCCTGAAACCGTTAAAATAAATATTCAGACATACCTTCTTACATTTCCTCGCCAGGCTTGTGCCGTAGCACGGCAAGATCTGTCACAAGAAACTAAGAATGTCCAGGAAAAGTAACGGTGGCGGCCATTTTTTTGTAGACTCTAAGTCATTGTGGTCTAAGAGACTGTCTGCCATAAAATGGCATCCCAAAGGAAGACAAAGTGCTAACTACATGGGGGCTCTAGTGTTCATAATGTGAAATGCCTGCCCATTGCAACACATCATTAGAAAGGGGAAGATATGAGGCATTTGAAGGTTTTAAAGTTGTAAAGTTTGCACTGCAAAACAGACACCTCATGTATACAGGGATACACAGTTCAGACAGAGGACAATAAGTTAAAAACAATCTTTTAGTCCCCACTGAGCGTTTTGTAACACAAAACTTCAAAACGTGTAACAAGCCAACGCTGACATTTCAATTTCCCTGTTTACAATGAAGAGTTTGGGTGCCTGTAGCTCAAGCTGGAAAAGAATGGGGTATTTTTTTGCCCCACTGACTTAAGTACGAGCGTGGGAACAAAGATATAAATGTGTGTTGCGCGCATTTATTTGATCCTCCCAAAATAATCTTTGGACCAAAAACTCTGCCTCAAAGAAACACCTGTATACTTCACATGCAAAAAGGCACTCAATGAAAAGCCTTAAAGTGGAGTTCCACCCAAAAGGGGAAGTTCCGCTTTAAAGATTGGTCCCCCGCTCCCCATTAAGGATTGGCACCTTTGGGGAGCGGGTACCTGAATTTGACAGGTACCCACTCCCACTTCGATCGCCTAGGCGACTGGAAACGGAAGTTGTCTTCCTACCCTCCCTCCCCAAAATATTGTGGGACATGTGACAGGTCCCAGAAGACGACGGGAACATTCAGGAAGTGCAGCGCTGCTCGCGCATGCGCAGTGGACACCCGGCTGTGAAGCCACAAGCTGTCACAGCCGGGTGCCCACACTGAAGATGCCGCCGCCTAGAATACAGGACTGGCGGTAAAACGGGCTGCGGCGGGGGCAACGTGGGATCGTGGGACAGGTGAGTGGCTGTTTTTTAAAAGTCAGCAGCTACAGTTTTTTAGAGTGGAACTCCATTCTAAAGCCCTAAAATACCCTCCCCACACTATGCCGAGGTCTGAGTGGGGGCTCAATACTAACTGTGTGTTCCATAGTATTGTAGTGAACATAGAGGGAAATATAAATTGTAATATATAATATACACTGCTCAAAAAAATTAAACAAACTCTTTTTAATCAGAGAATAGCATCAAGCCAATTAAACTCTTGGGATATTGATCTGGTCAGTTAAGTAGCAGAGGGGGTTGTTTCAGCTGCTGTGGTGCTAATGAAATTACCAACAGGTATACTATATGGGCAACAATGAGACAACCCCCAAAACAGGAATGGTTTTACAGGTGGGGGCCACTAACATTTTTTTCCCTACTCATCTTTTCTGACTGTTTTTCACTACTTTTGCATTTGGCTAGGGTCAGTGTCACTACTGGTAGCATGAGGCGATACCTGACACTACAGAGGTTGCACAGGCAGTTTAACTCCTCCAGGACGGCACATACTGTAAATAATGTAATGAACAACAATCACTCTCAAAATATAAACATTTAGCCTGCATTTACACCTGAGCATAGCATATTCCTGGTGATTTTGATGTTTTTTTTTTTTAGTTTGTTTCCTAGTGGAAGCCCTTCAGGCATAAACACGCGCGCGCTAAAATGTACAAAAACATGCATAACGTGTATATACAGGCTGTCCTTTGAAGACTATAGAGCCATGAACACCTATGTACTTTTTTGAGCATAGGATGTAGAGCACTGGGCGACTGAGCATATATTTGTAAACAGGGACAATTAGAAAGAATGGGATTCTGCATGCTGAGCAGAGTTAGGTAACCTCAAGTGTAACAATCTGCTGGCCTCTACTATCACGACCATGAACACCCATGTTCCAAAGCACTTACAGTATATTCCAAAAAACTCATGTAATTTTTTGAGCATAGGATGTAGAGCACTGGGCGCCTGAGCATATAATTGTAAAAGGGACAATTAGAAAGAATAGGATTCTGCATGCTGAGCACAGTTAGGAAAGCTCAAATGTCTACTATCTGTATTTGTAAATGTCTGTAAGCTATGTATGCACTTTCTGGCTCTCAATTTTTGGGTAAAAAACATCAGAAGGAGGAAGTGGAGGGACAGAGAACTGTGACATTACATACACAGGAACTGTTACTGCAGTTGTATTTTACCCAGATCAGAAGCAGAGACTGTTAGGCAAGAATTCCTACATTCTAGCAGTTTATCTGCAGTTGCCCATAGCTTCTTTAATGTGTATCCGAATCCTTGTGACAGATATAGCTCTGTCCAGTTGTAATTATCTCACATGCACAGAGCCAGATACCTAGGTCCATGCTACTATATGTATATAGTGGTCACCTTGCTGTATGTTGGTAGTCGAGCCTGTTTATTGCAATAGAGTTTATATGCAGCAACTGTTATTTTAGCTACCCTGTCCCTTCTGGTCTGGGATTTTATAGCTAGTTTTAATTCAGAGCACAATAACCTGCATAGGCTAGAGATAGGTTGGGCATCCAATGGCTGCTTCTGGTAGTGAAAAGTCCACTTTCATGACAGATTAGATCCTGCCAGGGACTAGGGGCAGAGTAGATAGGCTGACTCTGAGTTCTAGTGCCACACTACAGTTCCTGCCAGGTAAAAAACTGTGTTCCAGGCTGGTTGGACAATGGCTCAAGTGTCTCCTCATCACCACAGATCTTGTATATGAAGAGGATTTTTGGGGTATAGAAAAAGTGCAGAGACACTGGAAGGGATGAATATGAATATGAAATGTAATGTATCTCAAAAAGAAACTCACTGGCGAGAATTTACAAAGAATCTTGCACCATTATAATGCCGCAAGAAACTGGCACGAGTAACATGTGCCAAGTTAACAAAGCAGATAGACCTGTTTCAGGTCTATCTGTGCCATCCATGCTAGTTTCTGTCTCAGTGTGAAATAGAAATTGGCATGGATTCTGTGACTAATCAACAAAACGATCTTGACGCACCCACAAAATCATGCCTCCATTTTTAATATATTCTCAAATAATTAGTCACAAACATTCGGGACAGGATGCAGACATTCAAAATATAAAGACCAAATGAGAGCAGATTTAAAAAAAAAAAAAAAAAGAGACACCAATATACACTATATTGCCAAAAGTATTGGGACACCCCTCCAAATTATTGGATTCAGGTGTTCCAATCACCGCCATGGCCACAGGTGTTTAAAATCAAGTACCTAGTGTCGCAAACGCGCGCATCAGAGATGGACGCGGCTCAACCATTTTGGCTTCAACCTCCATCTTGGCGAAGGAATTAACCCTCCTGATATATGTTATTCCCTCATTCTCGTTCCCCCTCCTTCCTGAGAGGCACAGTGACAGATGTGTGTGTGTTAAAAGTGTCACAGGCCAGATACCAGCAGGGAGCCACGTGGTGCTGCACTGCTTGGGGAACCTGTGTAGTTTCACACATCGTAAAACAGATAACGAGCCTTCCCAGAAGTTGAAAGAAATGCTGACCTGATGAACCTAGCGCAGCATAGGTGACAGAATTAGATGAACACTTCTCAAATTAAATTTTCCCCTATGTTTCATATCTTGGAATATGAGAGAGCTACATAAAAACCGAACCCCTCGTCAGATGGCCAATGAGCAGATGAACAGTTTGATGGGTCACTCATTTATCATCAGGGAAGCCGGAACATAGAACTCGCGAACCATGCCACATATAATTTCATAATTCATATCTAAATAATCCTCAGGCTTATCTGCATAATAAAATACCCGCGGGTGGACTGTCGCTTGTGCAGATGGAACGTTATGGAACAGAATATGAATTATGAAAGATGTTGGCCCCAGTTTAGGGTCCCGCCTGACGACCCCTCCCTGCACAAGGGATTGATTTGTTACTTCAGAACCACCCCCTGCTGGGAAACTTTAAAACAGGCTGTCAAGCCTAAGGAAGATAGAATTGAAGACATCTCCCATTTTTCCATCGTAACAGCGGGAGATCAAAGCACCATTCTGCTCTAAAAAACTTGGATCTGCTTACATCAAAGGCTTGCTGGCAAGTAACTTAACCGTTTAACTTCTCTCTGTTATCTCTTTGCTGTTCTATGCTGTTTCCTGTATATGTATATATATGTATATAAATATATATATATATATATATATATATATATATATATATATATATCTTAGCTACATCTTCTCTGTAAATATTTTCATTGCACCTGTTTGACCCTTTTAGTAATAAATCTCTCTTTCTGAAAAAGTGTTGAACTGTTTCTATAACTCTTAATTGCAATTTACGAATCCCTGCCTTTAAAGAGACGCTACTGTTTGTTTAACTCTCTGTATAGCCGGCCTGTGTCAATGACCGGGTTATGCGGACGATTATTTCAATTATTATAGTGTTATAGCGATATTGCGAGTTTCCTCTTTCTCTGTACAAAAAGGAGGTGGTGGCAGTTTGAAGGGTTAATTGCGTAATTAACTCGACCCAGTAACAATCGCTCAGGTTGCAGGTACATAGATTGTAGTCCATTAGCTGGAAAATCTTTGTGCAGGGTGCGGCTGTGCGTGGCATTGTTACGCATGTCACATCGCGGTTTGGATCGGCCAGTCCTTCGGTCACGAGTTTGGTGAGAAGGTCTGGGGTTTGATGCCACGATCGTGACATATTGGACATCGCGATCGTGAGATTGTCGCATTTTGGTGGCGGCAATCTTGCGATCCGTGACACCTAGGCATGCAGACTGATTCTTTAAACATTTGTGAAAGAATGGGTCGCTCTCAGGAGCTTAGTGAATTCAAGCGTGGTACTGTGGTAGGTTGCCACCTGTGCAATAAGTCCATCTGTGAAATTTCCTTGCTACTAATGTTCCATGATCAACTGTTAGTGGTATTATTACAAAGTGGAATCAACTGGGAACAACAGCAACTCAGCCACAAAGTAGTAGGCCA